GAAGCTGCAGGCAGCTACAGCTCTTACTGCCCGAGACAGTGTGAGGGTGTTACAGACACAGGCACGGGGGATCCACAGCAAATCTGATGATTCATGCCTTGACATGGCCCAACAGAGCTGCTCTGCTGGGAATTGATGGCTCTTGTCCCCCAGAGGGGTTTGGGCAGCTGAAGATCAAGTCAGAGCCAAGCAAAGGCGAGCCCCAGAGTATGTGAGAAGCAGCTAATAAAAAAAAAAAAAAAAGGCAAATGGCACATAAATGCACATAAATTCACACAGCTGAGCTCAGGGAAAAGAATAAAAGCTCCTGGCTTCTGAGGGGCTTGTGGATACAAGTGGAGAAATGAACAGCCCAGCAGGAGTGAGGGGAGCCTTCACATACATGTCCATCTGATTTCTGGGCTGCAAACACCCAGTCCCAGCTGTATGGCACGAGCTGATGTTACACCTCAGCCTTGCATTGAAATCACTCTAAGTAGCTTCAACTTTCAATAAAACACTGTGTAGTTCTTACTTTGTAGGAATATTAACACTTAATTATTAACTCCTTAGGAAAGGGACTATTTTTGGGCAACCCTTTATACCACAGGGCTCCCAAGCCCAGAGACCCTGGACATTATTGCAGTAAGAAAGAAAAAAAATTCAGACATTATTGCACAACCTACACATCCATTTCTGTTCATGTGAGCATCATGAGGCTAATGGGCAGAAGAGCAAAAGGATACTCCATTCAGGGATCCAGAAAACTAGAATCCCATACACCCTCCTTTGGCTGAGCACAGCCCACCAGAACCTCTGTGCTCCCACAGACCGTGACTGTGGTTTGGAGCAATGCATCCCCTTGAAGGGGCTGTCTGGCATGGTGATGGCATAGTGATGAAGAAAATGCTGGAGAACACATGAACAGCAGTGCCTGCACAACAGGGACCTTCACCCAGCTCTCCAGAGGAGGAGGAAGCCAGTAGAAAGGTAGAGATTAATTGGGAGAATTAAGAGTGTCTGGGAATGTTGCAGGCTTTTAAAAAGACTAGGTTAATGAAAGGACCAATCAACTAATAGATAACAAGGTGTCAATTAGTGGTCCTTTGCAAAGGCTCAGTAAGCAGATTTCATCCCCCAAAGCATTTTGCAAGCACCAGGTAAACGGACACGCCCTTGTGAATTTGGGGTTTTTTATCAACATCTCAGGACATTACTGGCTGGGGGTTACAGAGCATTATGGCCCTGGATCAGGAGCAAAATCCCACCTGGAGCCCTGCTCTTGTCACTGCATCCCACAAGGACTGCATAGGGAGTACAACTTTTAATTATTTCCATGACAAGGGAAAAAAAGCAGAAATGAGCACCAGCACATTGAAGTACTGTCTACCTCTCCCCTGATTTCCCCCCAGTCTGTTTAGCTGGAACATCTTTCCCTCTCTCGACCCTCCCCTGCTTACCAGATTCCACTGCGTGTGCCAGAGCTGTGGCTGCCCTGTGGTGTACCAAGTCTAGCAGGGAAAGGAAAAAGTGAAGATATCTTTAAATATAACAACACATATGCAAGCTGTCATGGCACATCACACACTCTTCTGCATCGCTCAGGCTGGAAAATTAGGTCAAGTATGGCTGGATGACACAGGGTGAAAAAGAAGCAAAAGCTTTACTTGAGAATTTGAAGGTGTTTCCTGAGGTCCCTGCCCTGATCTCTCCTGTCCTCTCCCCACCCTGTGGCTCTTGCCTTTGCCCCACTATGCCTTGGCTTCTGAGCTGCTGTGCTATTTTCTAAGCTGTAAAAAACAAAACACTATTAGCAAAGCAAATAACAAATATTTTTAATAATTAATTTTAATAATTAAGTCAACTCACTTGCCAGTAATCAGGCTGCAGAGCTGCCTGAACTTCAGCTCAACCCTGGTGCCTTCATCCTTCAGCTCATGACCTGACTGTGGCACTACCTCAAACCTAAATAGGACTGAACAAGTCCTGAAAGCTCAGCATGACCCATAGAATTCCTGCAGAATTCCCTCTGCTTTCCAGGAGCTGGTAAAGAGCTCTTGGCTCTCCCAGGCCTTTGCACTATTTTACATGAATGTGTTTAAAGAAAACAGATGTGTAAAAGTCTCATAACACAGTCCTAGAAATGTTTATTAAACTGGTTTTGGTCTTTCTTTGGCTAATGCAGGATACCTGGCTATTCCTATAGCATCCTCAGGTGCCAGGGACAATGCAGATTCCAACACATAAGCTCACTGGAGAGAGCAATTGTGAGGGTCATTGGGTAAATTTTAACATGCTTCAAATTTAATATTTAATGTTGTGTATTATAGGTAAAAAAGCACACTTACAGTCTGATTTCTTACTGGCAATTATCCTCTAAGAACACAAGCAAACTTTGATTTTACAAATGTCTTATGGGAACATGCAAAACTTTCATAGAAGAGGAAGCTGAGAAAGGGAAGGCAAAGCGTTGGAGTTTAAATAGTTTAGGAAAACACTTGGAGAGAAAAGCTTTATTTTATATGTAAAAGTCATAAATTGAATGTTTTCCTATTAAAAAAAGCACCTTTTTTAACCTTAAGAATTATTTCCCAAGTTCCTGGCACTTACAGTGCTTGGTTGGTTGCTGTATATTTTACTTCTGTGAAATGACTCAACCACACACAGCACCACTGCAGCAGAACAAGAACAACGATGCTCATCAAGCTTTTTTTATATACTGATTAATACTGAAAGGAGAACCTCAAACTTACCAGCACAGCCCAGAAAAAATCACCCATGTTGCTGTGGTGCCTTTTCCCCATCCTAAATATGACTAACTGGGGAAGGCCTGCTCCAGCACGTCCTGGCGCACACGTAGGGACCGATTGCTTCAACAAGCTTTTAATTTTTCCAGTGTTGCAAGATGTCCCAAATCCAGGATGTCAATTACAAATACCACCTCCCCTGCCCAAGATGCTACAGCACAAATCCATTTTCACATCACTATGCCAGACCCTAATCTCCACTGAGGCAAACCTGCCCTCCCCCTGCTTAAAACCAAGATATTAGGTTAGAAATAAGATTTAGCAAAATACAAATTACATTATTTATTATTCTGTTTTTGGGGGCTTTGTGCTTTCTGGTTTTAATTTCCATGCATCTTCTAGCTTTTCTGTATATTCTGGCACACAGCTCATGCAAATGGGCTCAGTTGGAGCTGAGAAATCATGGGGTTTGGTTTTGTGCTGAAACTGTCCCAGTGACATTCTCAGGCGTTTAGGGGAAATCTCTGTGTGGGGATGGGGCAGCCCCTACGAGAAGGATTAGCTTGGAGCATCAGCACCCCACTCTTGTAGGAGTGCTACAAGAGCCTGTCCTACCCAAAACCCCACTGGAGCAGCTCAGTGCTGGTTGGAGAAGCTTCATTTAACCTGGAAAGCCCAGGTGTCTGGGTTTCTATAACCTGACTGCCCTCATGGATAAAAAAAAGCTCCAGAACATCCTTGATAGACAGTGATTTTCCCCTCCGGCATTTGTGTTCCCAAGGTGCTGCTCCCACATGTCCCTGCTGATCTCACAGATGTAATTACAAAAACAGGGGCTGCTCAACCAGCCCTTCTGCTGCCCCAAGTCCCATAGGGGTTCAGCTCAGCCAGGCTGGGCTGGGGAGCTGTGCCTGAGCCCAGGTTCAGCTCAGCCAGGCCGAGATGGGGAGCTGCGCCTGGGCTTGCCTGCCCTGTACACCCACCAGCAGAGGAGGGATGCTGACCTTGACCTCTGCTGCCCCAGCCCCTGTGGCACTTCCTGTGACCTTCACTTCTGCTTCATAGGAGAAAGTGGGTGTCAAACTTGTGCTCTTAAAAAAGTTTGGGACTTCAGCGCATTTCCAGAGTGAGCTGAATGGCAATAAAAGTGCATTCGGTAAATATCAATGTGGGTATTATGAGAAAAACCTCCCTACACTTCACGCCACCCACTCTTGAATTATCAGATTAAATAAAGCTGACGCACAGCAACAAAAGTCAAAGCATGCTCGGCAAAGAGGCTCATTGCCTCATTTTACAGAGCTGGATTTTTCTTTTTCTCTTAAACATCCATGTTAAAGACACAGCTGAACCACACTTCAGAAAAGGATATATGTTAAGCAGACTGCTATACAATTAAAAACATTATAAAGGAGGGGAAATTCCCCTGTTTGTAGCAAAAGCAGGTGAAATTAAAGCATGGCAGAATAAGTCTTACCTTTCTTTTTGGCTTAACTGATTTCTCAAGATTCCTATACAGGGGTGAAACTGTGTTTCACATTACAAGGACACAAATGAGTTTCTACACCTACAGTAACTTAGAGTGCAATGGAGAAGAATCCAAACATTCATTAACAGCTATGCATTGTCCGGTAGGAAACGGTGGAGCAGAAGCGCTTTCTCCTCCATGTTGGCTCATTTGAGGAATGCTGTGGATGACTTAGCTCCAGAGGCTCCTCTTTCGCTCTCCATTTCTGCATTGCTCTCTCAGAAGCTTGCAAACAATATCCATTTCCCCACCGCTTTTGTCACATGCTGGTAAAAATTGATTTTTCCCGCAGTGTGTCAAAGCAGTAGCTGCTTTCCTTTCTTCTTCTGCTTTCTTGCATTCCTGTTATTGATGTCAGTGGGAAAGGGCACAGCTCAGAGAACGTATTTGTTGAATAACTGTTGCAGATCTCAACAGGAGAGTGGGATAAGAAGCTTACCTCCTTTCTTCTCTGTGCAATGCCAACATGCTGGCTTTTAAAAAAACCTCAGTGAAAAATTTGGTGGATTTTTTATCCCCCCCACCCCCCCAAAAAAAGTTATGTGAGAAAGAAAGCTAATTTGATTCCTGCATATTTCAAAAAGTCTAATGGTTTTTAGGTAGATCAAGTGCTGGTTCTGTGAATGTCCTCTCTACAGGAAGATACTCACTTGACTTCAGCACACAGAAGGACCAAAAGTATATTCTGTGTATACCATTTTTCTCCTGCTTCAATCAAATTGGAGAAAAAAAATCCAAGCATCAAGTTCCTTGAAATCTTTCTGCAAATGCAGGTCCTCTCTGGAGGTTGAACGTCAGACTGGCTCGCCACTGTCCGGGGTTAAGTGGGTTGTAGGAAACTCAATGCACTTATAAAGGTCCCTCTCAGAAGGGGCTATTTCACAGTAAGGTTATGGATTGACTGAGATATACGAGTGCTTTTACCAGTCACTGGCCATCTCCTCTACAACCAGTTCCCTTTCTGACCAACCATCTGGACAACCAAAAACTTGGAAACAGCAGACGCCCGTGTAAGAGACGCATTTGCAGTTCAGCACAAACTCTTAGGGCCACCATAAAACTTCTCCTGCATCGCCGTGGCTGGGCCGACACAGCTCCCCATGCTGTTACTCAGCAATTTCCATCAGACAACCTTGCTTGTGCACAGCTCTTTGTCAGCTCAAAGATGCCACCCTCAGAATCCATCACAGCTGGTCTTCGTCTGTGCAATCGAGAAGGCGGGTTCGTGTTCTGGAAAAAGCAGCTCTTCTTCAGACAAAGGAGATCCATGGAAAGAGTACACAACAACAGGAATGAGAAATGAAAAAAACGGAAAAAGGGCCAGGAAGGAGCATGGATTCCTTTCAGGTTTTGTTCTCGTCGTACATGTCCAAGGCAGGCTCGATGGTTGAGAACTCGCTCTCGTAGACCAGGCTTCGAGGGGACAGAGAGTTACGATGGAAGAAGTGACTGCCTGCAAGAGGTAGAACAAAACCACATTAGCAACACACATGAACAATGAAAGAACTGAGTAAAACATCCTCATATCTGTGTGCTGGATGCAAACACAGTACACAAGGAAAAAACAGCCACCCTTCAACACAAACCATAACAACCATATGAAACATTTCACCTCTGTTCATGTGCTCCTTTGCCAATTTAAAGCAACTGCTTTCCATATGCATGAACAGTCACACCTCAAATGGCTCCTTCAGATAAGAGGTCAAGTCTAAACAACGCTGGGGCAGGCCAGAGTTCTGCACTTGTTGCTGGCTGTTAATTTACAGCCTTGTAAAGCAGGGATGTATTTCCTTGGAAGACCCTGAAATCTCTGGTCAGCACCAAAACACTGTGCCCTGCACCAGCACGAAGTTCTTCAGCTTGGGGTCAAAAGGAATGAGCAGGCAGAGCAAGGGATCATCCCACCAATACTGCTGGAAGCCTGACCTCCTCCAGAGCTCAGCAAACTCCATCCACATGAGTCACCTTCTAGAAACAGCCACCTATGGATTTCCTTCCACATAACCAAGGAGATCCAACCCTCTTTTCCATCAATGGCAATACTGGAAACAAGCACCATGTGGCTGTTGATAAACTGGGAAGTGGAAGTCCATTTTTTTTCCTTGGTGGCCTGGCATTCCCATGGTTCTCTGAATCCACAGATGTGTTTTTGCAAGAAGCCCAGCCCTTCTGCTGTAGAAACGATTCTGTCTGAAAGCATCTATCATCAGATCAGGCCCTTGGCCAAAACGCTTCATTATCTTCATTCAATCCCAGGGGGGATTAGCTAGGAACAAGGCTGCTTAGATTACAATACGCCAGGCAGCTACATGAGCCAAACTGGAGGCAACTGAAAAGCTTCCAAGTTCATTAAAAAGGCATTCAACAAACTCAGGTGCCTCCAGTTTCAGGCATCAGTGAAGCAAGATGCTTAGGGAATTGTAGTTTCAGCCCTGGCAGATTTTAGCTGCTTAAATCCCCCTTGCTTTGCCAAATTTCGAGTCCAGCTTACCCCATTCTGAAATAAAGACTTTATAGAAGACATAAGAAAAGAAGAATTCAGCTGCTACTGTCCAAAACATCTTTTCTCCTTTCCTACTCACCCAAAAGACACAGACTTTGTGTGCCCAGGTCAAATCCTTGCTAATGAGTGCCTAACAGGAAAGTGGAGCTGGGCAATGGATTTGCTGCTCTTTCACAAGCAAAAGTCAGTGAACACACTCACTCCACCATTTGCAGTGAGAATGGGAAATTGTCATAAGCAAATTGGTTTTTGATCTTGTAGTTAACTGAAACAAGAGTGAAATTAGTGGTTACATTGCACAGGAGTGGACTGTTGACTCTGCCAGGAGCATGTATCCAGGTACTTGGAACAAGTGGGTTGTCTTGGAATATACTTCCAGAAGCAGTTAGTGGGGAATGATAGACCCATTTTCTGGATCTGAACCATCTCCCAAATTTACAGGTTTCTAAAATTGGGCGATGCTTAAAATAAAAACAAATAAATAAATAAATAAAGGTTGACTGTTTAAGGAAACATAAAGCTGGAAGTGTGACTTCCAGATTATCATGGTCTGTCTCCAACAGCTGGACTCGATGACCTTAGAAGTCTTTTCCGACCTCAATGATTCTATGATTCAAGCAAAAAACCCCCAAACTCTGGACCTGCTTTGAAATTATACCAGATAAAACTGATTTCAAGACTGTGCCATGGGTCAGGATAATTTACTTTCTGATGAACGAATCTCATTTTACAATTGAAATAAGCTGTGAGTATTGAATATTTCATCTCCCCTTCCTCCACCTGCTGCAATGTTACACACAACCAATGCTCAAACAAACCAAAGGGCTTGGTGCTGCTTTTGTTTTTATTACACAGAAATCAGACATAGGATTAGGAAGCAGACAGCACAGGCTGTCATTTCCTCTGTGTGCACTCAGACTTCCATCTAGCAGGTTGGAGGGAGAGATTTAATCAACAGGCAGACAGGTCATCTGACAACAAGTATTTTATATTAAGGTGGAAGTAGGCAGTGTATATTCAACACCTCTAAAATTCTTTACTGTGATGTTTTTGTCCTTCTTGGCAAAGGAAATTTAAGTCACTCACTTCCAGGAAGGCTATATGTTTCCATACAGATAGACATCTCTTGGCTCCCATACCACTTTTGAGACACATCTTCCATTCTTTTCCTAAGTGTCTCCTCTCCTATCCAGTGCAGCCAGCCCAGAGCTGAGAATCCAGCTGCTGCTCAGTGTTTTCCACCACTCAATCTTCAGGTGTTCCATTAACCAGGTCAGGAGCATTGCCCACAGTTTACAGCTGGAGCAGCAGGGCACAGTGACCTGCTATGCTCCTCTTAATGCAGAAAATTGCTACAGTTTGTTAAAAAATGTGGCATCAGTCCAACTGATAAATTTACTGAACAAATGTATTTTAAGGCAAAGTACAAACATCCGCAGTTCCAAATTCAGCTTATGAATCTGTTCTTCCTATTTTGCACTTACCAAGAAGGATCAAAATTTATCCCTTATGTACAGAAAACAAATGGGAAGGCTGCATGCAGTTTTAGTATATGAAAATGAATCCTTCAGTGCTCTCTGCCACTATTCTTCATTATATGCTTTAAAATAACTTTTCAGGTAACTTGCATTGAGTGTGAAAATAAACACAGTACCCTGAAACTGATCTTTATACCTACCATAGGATGCCACCAAAGTGAGGACAACACCAAGGCCAAAAACTAACGAGACAGCACTGCAGGTGCACCAGGATTAAGTATCACCTGGTGTTCCCCTTCCATCTGAAAGTATCTTAGTGCCCTTAGTCATTAATCAGGGCCATCTTCTGCCACAAGCTGCAGTCCCTTCCACAATTCCTCCAGCAAAGACTTCTTACTGTGGAAATCTGATCAGAGCACTCCCTATCTTAATCCGTTTTAGACACCCTCTCAGTTAACGAACAACAGAAAGGAACTATTTTATAAAGTACTCTTTCCTCAAAGCCAGCTTAGCAGGAAGACTTTAAAGCAACTGCTTTCCATATGTATCAACAGTCATACCTCAAACGGCTCTTTCAGATAGTAAAGGTCAAGTCTGAGCAAGGCCAGAGTTTTGCACTTGTTGCTGGCTGTTGATTTACAGCCTTGTAAAGCAGAGATGTTCTTCCTCAGAAGACCCAGAAAGACATGGTTACCATTGTGCAGACATGGTGGGATAACTGGCACAACTGGAGTGCTGCAACAGAGGGCTGAAAACTCTTCAGAAGGGACAGGCAAGGAAGGAGACTCATCGGGGTAGCCAATGGAAGGTGCTCACAGAGCCACTTCCCATGATTTACCAGCAGTCCCAGCAGCTACCTGGGGAAGTCCCAGCTGACTGGAGGTCTGGGCAACTGCAGGCCTGTCAGCCTGACTGTGGTGCCAGGGAAGGCCATGGAACAGATCATTTTAGTGACACCACATGGCACATCCAGGACAAGCAGGGGATCAGACCCAGCCAGTGTAGATTTAGAAAAAGTAGGTCCTCTTGATCAACCTGGTCTTCTGTGATAAGATGACCCACTTAGTAGATGAAGGAAAGACTGGATGTGTCTACCCATATTTTGGTTGACACCGTGTCCCACAGCATTCTCTTGGAAACTGGCTGCCCATGGCTTGGACAGGTGTTCTTAACATGGGATAAGAACAGGCTGGATGGCTCAGCCCAGATAAGGAATGGAGTTACATCCACAGGGCTCAGAACTGGGCCCAGACCTGTTTAATATCTTTATCAATGATCTGGATGAGGGGATGGAGTGTACCCTCAGTCAGTTTGCAGCCAACACCAAGTTGGGTTGATCTTCTGGAGGGTAGGAAGGTTCCACAGACAGATCTGGATAGGCTGGATCAAGGAATTTAAAAGATACAGATGTAGCACTTGGGGACATGATTTAGTGGTGGGCTTGGCAGTGCTGGGTTAATAGTTGGACTTGATGATCTTAGAGGGCTTTTCCAACCTAAGTGGTTCAATGTTTCCATGAAAAACTTTGGGGATTTCCTTCTTCTGTCTATCCAGAGTTAAAAAAAAAAGAGTTTCTGATGATGTAGAGTCCATCTTTGAACGTATTTATTTCATTAACATATAAACATGCACTGATTGCATGACCTCTAAGTAACCTATCAAACGTTGTATCATTATTAACACTTTGTTGAGAAAATTGTTAGAAGCTTAAAAAGAAAAACTAGAGAAGATGATGCTGAGTTATTTAAATCCTCCATGGAGGGAAATGCACTAAAAAGTCCTTTTGCTCCAAGTATCAACTTCTCCTTCTGTTGCTGTTCTGAAGAAGAAACATGAACTGGAACCATTATGGTGCCTTTTGCATCTGGGTCACTGCACTGCTCACATGGTCCCTGCCCGAGAGCATTAAATAGCACTTAAGAAATTTTGTTTCAGGAGACAAGTACAAACTTATCAGTTTTACTACTGCTGTTGAGAGATGAGTGAAAAAAACATGTATCATAGTTGTTCCATAAATCATGCTCTAACCACATTCCTCCATTTTTGGCAACAACACTCAGTTGACACATGTTGTACGTTACAAGCACACAGCCCTCAAACACGGAATGTTTGAGGTTTTTTTCCCCTCATGAATAAGTCCAGTGGGGTTTTCCAGTCTTTCAAAATGCACTTACTGCTCTATTGATTTGTTTCCATATTTCTTTCAGAATTTCACAAGGACACATTGAAGAAGAATTCTATTAAATGCACTGAAGCTATCACATTCTTCACTGCTTATTATAAAAGCTGCCTTCTCAGCTGAAGCCTGATGGACAAATAAGAATTAGGAAACTATTTTAATGTAGCATCTGGCTGTGTTCCTACATTCTAAAAGTGCCTATACATAAAAATAAAATTAAATTAAATCCTCTAGTTCCCAGTACATAAAAAAATTAAATCTTACAGCAAAATTGCTTCTCTCTGTTCATTTAA